TGCTGTACAAAGAACGAGAAACAAACCCTGCACTAAGGAGAGTGAAATCTTTCTTTAAACCTTTACAATTCACTAATCTCTACACATTTTTATAAATTGCATTTAAAAATAGTTTTCTCCTCACTCATGTCCCAGATTTAACAGAGTGATATATTGAGGTCTCATTAAAAAGCCTTTATTACCTTCACAAGCTGTGGCATCTTACCTTACCTAGTATGAAATGCTGAAAATATGACAGATCTCAGAATCCATCTGACCTAAGAACTAAGATTATTCCAGGGATTTCATAGAACAGAGTCTAACCCCCGTGCCCTTCTAAAATGTTTGTAGGCTTGTATTCTTCCTAAGAAAATTCCACCAGCATAAGGTGAAAAACATGATGTGTACCAACTGCCAGCTACTGCCTTCTTGTTCACTTATCCATTTGCCAAATTCAGGGATTTAGAATGGTTTCCCATCAGTAATTTTGAGGTTCCCACATCACACCTTTTCTTGGCGACCTGGTTATAAACTAGTAACACTTGGGGATACTCTGGCTATCATCTCAATAACCTCATTATGGACAACTGTATTTCTAGATCCCAAAGGCTGATGTTCAGTGATGCACCAGGGTGGGGAAAAGCTGATTTCCTCAAGGTGAAGAAGTCCTGGTCACATCCAGCCGTGACCTACTCAGGGCTTAATCCCCGCAGACATGCACCGTAGGATGTGACCAGGTGTCAGGAAGTTCACCTGTATTCTTGGGCTCAGGGCGCTGTGGAAAAAAAATCTCACAGTAAATAAACCTACCACAGCTTTAAGGACTCACATTTTGAAAGCTTCCAAAGCTGAAAGAAGTGGAAGCCACTGCAGAAAATAAACACCTTTTCAGAAACACATATATATACACACACAAAGGAAATCCTATTTCTGGCTTTGGAGAGAGTATATTCACCTTACCTCTAGTGCCAGTATGAGTTAACGCAGCTTCAGGTGGCATCTTTCTGACAGCACGATTTCAACAGGGTGCATAAATAAAGATTTTTATATTTATCTCACTGGTTTAATCCTGCTTCCCCACAAAATTTAGAAAAATGGAGAAAATGGCAATGGGGAGAGAGCGTGCATGTCTGTAAGCACACCAGCCTGCTCGTGGGACAGGCTGTTAGCACACTGCTTTTAAAATACTGCAACCTGCTGAACTGATAAAGAGGTGCCAAGAGTCAGTCAGATGGTCAAGAACATAAGGTAAATGTAATATTAAGTACAAATATCCATTTATGCTAAAGTTAATGACAGGCTGAGGACAGCTGTTTTGTAGGCTCATATGAGAAATATTATATAAAGGCTCTCTTTCACAACTTCATTTCTTGTAACATAGAAATAGAGCGCTCTTCAGGACATCACAAGGAAATGATACTCCTTTCCTTTAAAATAGCATTACTATCTCAGAGAAACGTTAGAAAATCCATATACTGTATCATTAGTTGGCTTTTTATCCCCAGAACTCAGAAGTATTCTACAAAGAAAGTCAATACCATCAACTGAATTTGCCAAACTGGAGCAGAGAAAGAAAAAACCTGCATGTGTGAAGGTTACCCAGCAGGCCAGCAGCACAGTGGGAATAGGAGGCTGACAGTGAGAAAAACGGTGTATCTAATATGACCAAATTCTAAAAATACAGAACATGAGTCGGGGAGGGAATACAAAATATAGCAGTCCTTGAGGACTACTCAGGCGGCTGTTATTATCCAACTCCTCTGAAGTCTGTCCATCTAGTGTTGCATCTCATTCAGCCTGGTTCTCAAAACTGACTGCACAGATTACATAACTACTGTCAAGTTTGAGGAACCACCCAAACAAACCAGGTCTCCAGTACAAAATCACTTGCCTTTCTGCTAAACTACAAACAAGAAACAAGCAGTTTTAAAAAGTAGGTGAAAGTACAAATAATAAATGTAAAAAAGGTGATAAAAGTAGTATCGAACAAAGGACTAAAGCCACTCAGGTGCCCAGAATAAACTGGCAGTGACAGAAATATTAAAAACAGAGTTTCTGCCCTACTCATATTTACAGTATAGGAGGACACTCAATCTCCATAAACTTAAAGGTCTTTCTAAGCATATTTCGTGTTAAGAAAAACCTGCAGAAACTAAGCACTTATATAAATTAATAATAAGCACTTCGAAATATACTGTGGATAAAAGGGGGGAGAGTAGGGACAACTTGTTGTTAGATGAACAACAACAGTTCATCTAACTGTTAAGTGCACGAAATCGCCTTTTCCCAAAGGACAAAAACATGCACAAAGGCGAAGTTCAAGAGAGAAATGAATAAGCATCACCAGCCTGTTGACTCGGAATTTCCCAAGCTTTCCAGTGTCACTACTCTCAGCATCTGCTCACCTGCCAGAACGTGAAATTCATTTCAAGTGACAAAGCCTTGCACCCAGTTGGGTCTCCAGGGAAGGAACGGAAAATAGAGAACACCACAGCTATGGCCAACTTCTCCAAGCCCCTGCAGCCTCCATTCCCCAGAGGCTGAAAGAGCAAGCAACAATGAAACCTGCAACTTAACTACTAACCAAAAATTAAATGCATTATGCCACTACAAGAAACTCACATACCACATAAGGTGAATGCTCTGGGAAAAGGCTAAACCAGAGGCTGCTGGAAGTGCGAAATGAAGAAGAGCAAGGAAAAGCATTTCAGGCTTAAAATGATCAGGAAAAAGACAGAATACAGTAGATGCACTGGTTAAACATTGAATAGAAAGCCACAGTGTTGAACACTGTCCAGTAAACATTTACATCTTGTAAATATTACCTTCTGACTGGGCATAAGGCAGAAGTTGAAAGCGGAAATTTGATTCACTCAACAGAGTTGACATGAGCAAGGGAGGTTTTTCTCCCCATCTACAAGGTACTTTGAGGACCATGAGTCAAAACAACACTGTAAGCACAAATCCAAGCTATTATCCATACAGGTCAGTAGCTTTACACATAGCCCTGTGCTTCCTCATACCAAATCTCCGGGCAGCAGATCTTAGATGTGAATTTTCTTGTTTAGCATCCTCTAATTCTCTTTTGTATAGCCACCTGGCCTGTTCAGTTTTTATATTGCTGGCATACAGCTGTGCAAGAGGACATGTTCTAAAAAAATGAATTAATAGCACAGTGAGAGGAACGTTATGCATACGTGTAGGTTGCAGTTATAGAGCTGAACACTGAACAATATCCATGAGCGCAACAGCCTTGATGAGAACAGGGCAAGTATCAAGCCAGAACAGGTGAACATTTCCTTCATTGTAAATCAACAATGGAAAAAAAAAAAAAAAACAATAACAAACAAGGTATGAGATGGCGACACAAAATTACACTCACATTCCTAAGACACACCTGGAGGTTACAGCCAGCCAGGTGTCAAACTGTGATTTAGACAAGGCTCCTGGCTTGGGGCGCTGGGAAGCGCCACCAGTAACACTGATCAGAACAGGCGGCACCAGTTGGAGCTGCCAGTGAGGTGCAGAGAAGGAAAAAATATCCACATATAAGAAAAAAAACATACTTAGGAAGCAAAAATTGCAAGAAGTCAAAATTAAAAGTGGCTAAGCAAGGAGTCAAGAAAAACGACAAGCACAGAGAATACCAGCAGACAAAAATGCTGGTGGAGTCTGTGTTTTGGGTTGGATTTTTTCGCTTGAAAATAAAGTTTGGAACAAAATATTATCAGTGTATTGTATGGGGTTTGATGATGCTTTCAAAAGGGTAAAACCTAGTACTGATCTTTGTTCTCCTGTTTAAAATTCAAGTAACAACCCAGCTCGTAGGGAGTTTATTACCTACACATTCTCTGAACATTGCATACAGAACAGCTGATCCCAAATCTATTTCCCATGACCCAGCCAGACACTAATAGTGCCTTAAATTTCAGATAATTCACTGGGGTGAAGACCCCTCAAGCCCCACACATCAGCTGACTCTGTCCCTCAGTACAGCTACCTCTAGCCCATCTCACACGCTGCTGCTGCGCTGCAGGAGCAGAGAACACATGGCTTCTCCAGGCTGAAACCCTGCCGCTGCCACATGAGCCACCGAGAGGGAAAAATTGTCACTGGTGCCACATCACAGTTAATTAATCTCAGCCAAGCCACAGGACTGCCCACCCCTCACCACTGTCCTGGAATATTCAGACCTTCCCCCTATCCAAGGTCTGTGGCAGAATGCAATTCCTCTTCAGCTTAGTGTGCTAGTGAGGCAATTTAGAAAATCTGAAATTAACACTCAAGATACAACTTCCAGACACTCCTGTACTAAAAGAAGGCCGGTCAAGCTTCTGTGAGGTGAGAAAACGTCACAAAACCACCTCATCAGACTATTTGCCTGCTAATAAAAATAACATCTGACCTTCCAAGCTCAGCAAATGCTAGAGGGAGTTGGGAAAGTGGAACTGCAGGATACTTTACTCACTCATTTAAAAAGAAAACAAATATATCGAGGTAGTACAGTCATCTGTGGCCCACTGCCCACTTGTAGTGCCTTCTGTAAGCACAAGAACAGCACCTCTGGGGTTGCTCTTCTGCGATTCTGCTCCCTCTGATGGTACGCTGGCTTTCAGACCGAGGTTTTATTTCCATAGATTTAGCCAGCAATTTGCTAAAATCTTATTCTTCCACAATGCTGCATGCTTCAAAGAGCATGTTTTTACAAGAAGTTCCCTTCATGCTCAAAAGTCTTGCTGAAAAAGAGGTTAATGCAGACTGAAAATCATTGTGACATTGTGGACCTTTTAATTGGTTACTAGACCTGCTTTGGGGCACATATTAATAGGGCAGAAGCGTGAGACGTGCTCCTTCTCTCCCTCCTTGACAAACTGCCAGAGGAAGGAAAATATTTCGGTCTTGCTGGAAGTACTATGCATTCCATTTAAAAATCTGAAACTCAGGGAACATACATCAATGCGTAGCTAGAATGTAAGAGTGGATTGTTCAGAACCAAAAATAACGCACACAAAGTGTCTTACCATAGCGCTGAGAGTCTCCTCCCAGTCTGGCCTCTCTCTGGGATGGATGCTTCTCTGGAGCTCTGGCACAAAGTCATCTTCTTCTGTATGTACAGAGGACTTCATCATTCTGGGAAGGAGAGCAGAGAGGTCTGACACTCAGTGACAATTTCTAAATAATCTTATATACAGTTTGTTACGGTGCTCAGTTATGTGGCTCATACAGCAGTATAAGTGCTTTTATAAATCCAGAATTCTTACAGATTTCTAAGTTTCTCTTACTTCCTCATTATACAAGCAGGACAAGAGTGCAAATCTGGTGGAGAGAAATCTGCACTTCCTTACCAATCAATGGGTAATTCTGTTTAATCACTGCACAATTTGCAAGTCTTAAAACACAGAAAAACGCAGAGGAGTAATTTCCAGTCCGTTCAAAAAAAAAAATTGCTTCTATTGCCCAGGCAAACTACCCTTGTAAGAAGAAATATACACATTTGATTCCTTAGGTGTCACTGCATGTTTTGCCTAAAATGAAGATAACAGTTTCCATACCTCAGCCTGAATTCACATCCCGAAGCATGAGCCATCAGCTCTCATAGTTCTTACTGATCCTATCTGAAGAGTGAGCACCTTCAGCTGCCCCAGCTCTGCAGGGATGCGCTCAAATCAGTCTCATTTTATCAAGGTAAACTTTTCTTCAGATAAGGAGCCTGCTTTCAAATACCCTACAAAGTATATTTCAAGCCTGCACAGAGATCAGAGGCTCAAAATCATAATTTAAAAAGTATTCCTAAAAGCTTCTCAGTCTATCCTCAGGACAGCTCTGCTTATACTCAGTTATATATTGCACTTGCAGGCCATATAGCTGGGTCTTTGCAGGGATTATGGCAGAGACCTGAAGAAAGGCCTGTTGCAAGTCTGGTATTATCCATTCTGGCTTCATTAAACAGGCGATTTGGGGAGGGTTTTATTTCATTAATAGATCACCATTTATTTATTTAGGGTCACCATTCTGATGATCAACGGTGCATACACGTGGACAGAAAAGCTGGGCTGGTTTCGCTAAATGTTAACTACGCTGACTGAGGTACTGATTGACTAAAACAAGCATAGTGAGGGGCATTTAAGGCAACTCCCTTGCTTCAGATCAAGATCTGAAGTTCTGAATCCCCTGCATGCTGTTTGCCACCAGGACATAAGCGGCTGGGCCAAAGCATTTAACACTCTATTGTATTCTACGTGAGGGTTAAGAATGAAGTAATTAACGCTCACAGTAATAGCATGGCTGGGTTAAAAAATTATGTCCCATATAATTTTATACCTTGCCTTGTGATCACATTTTTGCTCTAGTAAGAAACACATCCTAGAAAACAGGGGCCTCAAAACCAGAAGTCGTAATGCCCCAGGCTAATGCTGCTAAATGATTTCGTGTGCCATTCCCACCGCAACCACCACCAACTGAAAGTAGGCTGTCCCTAATGAGGCAAGAAAAAATACAACTACATGGTAAAAGCTGTGTATGTCTGAAAAAAAGTTGCATGAAAATACCATGATTTAGAATGCAGAGGTGCAGTGCCAGCTCAGATGGGAGACTTGCACCTCTGCAACGTATGTGTTCAAAAGAATTTGTTTTTTTGTAAACTTGAACATTTGTTGCTCTGAGTGGCTGCCCTTTCATTTCTCCTTCTTTGCATATCAAGAGTGAGAAGATTTGGCCTGTTTTTCTCACATCCCCAGCTCCACCACACAAGAAGTTTGCCACTTATTTTAACTAAAAGTAAAAGTTGAAACCTGCTGGTTGCAGAGAAAACCAGATTATGCAACTCGAAACCAAGACTTAAACTGGAAAAAAAAAAAAAAAAAAAAAAACACAAACCAAAAACAACTGTATTTTTTTTTAAATCCACCTCATGATTTTGAAAACAGCTCAGTAAGGCTTTCCTCAGGATTTCTAGATCTTTGGGTTTGGCAATACTGCAGTTGTATAAAAAGATTCCAAACAAATCACCCCACAGCAACTTTAGTCTAATGCCATCAGCCGACAGAATAAAAGGAAGACCCACCTTTTTACACAGTGGTTAGAACAAACAGCTTATCAAAATGCATACTTTCTCAATTTAAAGACTTAAAAACAATTATATTGAAATTTCATCTTTATTAACACTTCGGATTACAAATTAATTTACTACACAACTTCTCAGGCAATTCCTCCCAGATTTCTCATCGGAAATCAGGGAAACTTGGGCATCAGGCCCATATTCTGGGTCTCTACCCTCACAGTGGACAAACACGGATTTCACAGCTGCCAGTCCTTTCTACTAGACTCAACTGGTTTACTCACATTGTTTGTTTAATCTGATTATGTCTAAAAACTCCACGATAAACTCTTCCCAAACCCTTCCCACTGAGATCCTCAAACAGTCCTATTATTCTTCCTGTTGAAGGTGTTCTGGACTCTTACTGGAAATAAGAAAAGCTCTGCGTGTAAAATCGCGTATTTAAAACAGTCAATTCTTGGAGCATTTGCCAGACATTCTACTACTGATGGGAATTAAATACTTCACCACAGGACCACAAAAAATATTGGAAATGATACTGAGGATTTTCTCTTTAACACAATCATAAACACTTGATAACCATCTGTGAACCCTTATTAATCTTTAATAGAGAGTATTTAATTCCATGCATCTGAAACAAGAGACCAAGGAAGGCTGGAGATGCTACAGGTAATATTAGTCCCTTATATATTAAGCCTAGTGGCTTTTTTCTCCCTATCCCTGATCTGGATGAAGGAAAATAATCTTTGTGAGTTCGCAACAATGCAACAGGGGCAGGAGTTGGGCCAGAGAGGGATAAGAAGAGGAAGCAAAGCAGCTACTCGAGACACTCCTGTTGTTTCAACAGACTCCACAGCAACTCTGTTCTCAAGGATGACACAGAGAAGGAACTGAAGCTCCAGGTGCCTGGGAAAGGGGTTATGAAAAGACTCACCAGACTGGCATCCACCTGCAACAACACTTCTAAGCATTATTTCTTCATGCACCCTCAACTCATCTTTGGGCCTTTCTGCGGGAGCTCAGCTGTTCATTTGCAAAGACGCAGCCCTGTATTTTGTGGGGAGCCCCATTATAAGCCCCCAGGTGGGAAACTGTAACTGGGGAAGAGCCACACTGGTGGCAGTCACCCAGGGGATCATCAAAGAAAATGTCCTCTGGGCACGTAAAATCTTCGAGCCACACAGCTGGGGGAAGCAGCTTTCCTAGTAGGCAGGCATTGTGATTTTTCCTGGCCTCACCCCAAGACACGCTTGAAATATTATATATAGGTATAATCATATGCATACATTTTTATATGCATGTGACATTTTAATTTATAGAGCAAATAAATCGCACAACATACATATGTCTGATTCACCACGCATGTCAAGCTGTAACAAGACTAATTATATTGTTTCTGTCATAGATTCTTCTTCGCAGGAGGGGAAAATACCGAGAGTCCCACTAGCACTTACACAAAACACTGACACATCTATTTTGTAAACACTAAAGGCAAAGCAAATTAAAGACGCTGCTCTGTTCTATAAAGCCTACGTTCGACCATTTGATGGGAGCTGTAAATGACTGAAAATTCACTACAGAATTTAATACTAGCCATAAGAAGAGAAATACAATTTTATTTTAAATGCCACTTCTTCCAACTGCTTCACAGCACTGAATGCCCTTCAAATGAAATCTGACACCATTATATTAATAAAAGTTCTGGCTGTATAGAGGCCATTAAGCAATCTCACTTCAGATGAATGAATCCTTCTTCATTGTAAATTGAGAACCAAATGTACTGGAACAAATGTTTACAGGACGTTTCACAAAAGGCACAGCCCACATTCACACCCATTCCTGAAAGTTCTCCAGTAGGTCAAGTTGATGAATTTCAAGTCAGAGCTCCATTTGTACAGGCTACCATTCTATCAAGAAAATATCTAAGGCCCATTTCCATGTTCTCAAAGCCAATTTGCTGGTCCTGTCATTTACGGTACTGCTGTATCTGCTTATTAGGAATTAAAACATTTTGGTGCTGTTCTCCTGACCAGGCTCCCCTATAGTCCTGCGTTACAGAGCATGAAGTCCCACCTGGACACACTAAGGAGAGTATTTCAACACCTCACAAGGCTGAAAGCACCTAGAATAGAGAAGCACAGGTGCTTTACAAGGTAAATTAATATTCAGCTTGATGTCCATAAACTCTACTGCTACTTCCTATTTATAATATTTTAAATATTAAATATTACTTCTACTAGAAAACATCTTTCCCTATGGGTTTGAAGGAGTCCCGCATGCACAAACGTGATGTGTTTCCACACCTGTTTGCACAAAAGAAAAAGGATCATAAAAAGTGGGTTTGTGGAAAGAGCTCCATAAACCAAACAAGGGAGGAGAAAGGACAGAAACTTTTAAAATACTGTAGGATTCCTACAAGAATGTCCGTTCCTCCTATTTAGGATCTTTGGGGCGTACCATGTCCCACCGGTAGACCACGGCGGCAGGAGTAACACAGTTGTCATGGACTTTGATGTCATCTAGATGCCGATGACATGAAGATTAAGAGCTCTCCTCGGGGAGGACATGAGGGTGTTGACAAATTACTTTCAGAGGTGCCTGATGGCTTGGAAGCCACGTGCTAGCATGGAAGCAGGAAGCATTTTGAATGTCAGACTCCTCATATCAGATAGTTAATTGTCTGCTCGACAGATATTCATTTTGGACTGGCTATATATTTTTTAAATTAAATGCCACGCGTGATCTTTAGGTTGTGCTCCCCCATGGGGACATCAGGCATTTCAGCTTTCCTTGCTACTTCTCACTCAAATGACTTTTCTTTCTGACCTCAATTTAGTAGGTGAGAGCCGATGCTAACTGATTTATTAGTTTATTTATTATTTATTATTTATATAGCACTGTTGTTGAGCCTAGAGATTTCTCAGCCAATGTGAAAGCACTGTTCTGCCCTACAGAACCAATGATTCAAGAGGATTTAGAGCTCCACAGAAAGTGATGCTTCCTGAGATATGAATTCTACCCCAAAAGCCAGATTTAAATAAGGCCTGCGCTGACACAAATCTATACTGAAAAC